ACCAACTGATTTCCTTTGTATTGTCTTTTATCCTGTATCATACAGCTTTAACATAGAGAATGTGATTAATCTAGAGACTTTTAAAAAAGGACTGTATATTTAGGCTCTGTGATATTGTAAATTTCAGCAGGCCAAGTGGTTCTCTGACTAGCTTATGATGTTAGAATCTGAGGAGAGGAATAAAATTCACAATGCTATTTAAGACTGGTATCCACAGAAGCTACCAACTTCCCATGTAGTCAAAAAGCATTTGTCTCCAATAATACATTCAGAGATTTTCTACCTTACTAGTAGTGAATCAAAAAGGTGAGAAGTTTTAATTATGGTTCCTATGGGCTCCCAGAGACTCTATTCTGAATATTCAGATTTTTCTGGAAAGCTTTCAAAAGTGTAACTGGCATCAGTGGAAGTCCTCTGTACTGAAGACTAACTTGGCCGTTGCCCGAGAAAACAAGAGTCTGACTCATACGGTTTCAAATAGTTCCATGCCTGCGATTCTGCAGGAATCGCTCCTCAGACTTCATTCTGGTCCCAGCTTGCTGAAGCAGATAGAGGTGAGGTATTCATCCAGCACGTCTCTGGCATTCCTTCCCGAGGGTCTCAGTTGGGGCAGCACCAGCCATTTTGAAAGGCCCGGTGTGTGTCCCAACTGTAGCTGCACAACCTTAGCAGAACTGCCCATAAACCGATAGCTTTGGTTTATTTTGTTAGCTTGGTAAGTCATGCTCTCCATGCTGTGACTCAATGGCATTTCCTGTTTCCATTTTCATTTTCAGAGAAAGCAAATGCTAAACTCTTCAGGTTCCCAGGAGCGAGTCTCCCCCCCACCCACCATGTGAAGGTCTTGCCTTGTCTGTGGGCTCTTGGGATGCCATCCTTATGTCTGTTGTGAAGCTATTAAGCCTCGTGGCCAAGACTTGAATTGGACATAAGGGAGACAGGTGTTGTGTAAGCTTCCCCTCAGGCAGCTTGTGCAGGCTGCTTCCCTCCTGATCTCAAACACCCACCCACTGTGATTCCCATTTTAGACCTCTCTGGAGCAGAGAGCAGTGTACTCTGCAGATGTAACTAGTACTTACTGAAACAAATAAAAACAGACGAGATCACTCTGAATGCCAAAGATACACTCATCTGTTTACACCACCCACTTCCGACCATTCTCCAAAGTGCTGTAAGTAGTGGATTTTTTTTGACTAGAAGGGATTGTTATACTTATCTAATGAAAGAAAGACCAGAACAAGACCCCCAAGCCTCTCAGAGGTGGCATGGCGGCCCCAGGCCTGCTTGGCCCTGCACATTCCCAGTATAGATCATCTTCTACCTCTTGGATCCTCTCCGGCCTAACAGTCATGTCCTCCAATAACTGCAGTATCCATAACTATATTTAGCCACCTGGGGTATTCAGGCCAAATGTTACTGCACTTGATCTTCAAGTATGAGATTGTTTTTAGGCCTGGTGTCTGTCTTCTGAAGTGAGAGCAAGATGGGGTGCTTTGTGACAGTTATGTGGTGTTTCTAAACTAGGTTACTTTTCCTAAGATCAGGAAACTGAATAAAATTAAATAATAGAAGGAAGAAGCTGATGGCTGAAACAGGTGTTAAAGTTATCTAGGATTAAATGGAAGATTTATTTCATAGTAATATTGCATTTTTATAATGCATGTATTCCTTTTTGCTGCCCCATATTTTATATATTTTTATCTTCTTAATATCACAGCAATGGGTAATCCCTTTTCACACCAAAGTGTTTATTAAAACTTCCCCCTCAATTGATGATAGTAATTGTACATTTTTTTAGCGGGCACCTGAACACAAAACACAAGAAATCTTCTCAGAATTTAGCTACACTTGTACCTAGCAGCACACTTTGTCATAATAGCATTTACATGCATTTGAAAATAGCAGTGCATGATCTATGAAGACATAATATTGATTCAGTCTAAAAGCAAAGCTTATTGCATTTGTAGATTCATGGACCATTCAAGCTGTATATGGACCACACGTCAGAAACAACTAATTCAGAAGGGCCAAAGTTTATGCTCTGTGCTGCAGTTTCTGAGATGACACATTTCCTTCACTATCTCTGGTTTACAGGAAGCAAAAAGGTGAATCTAATTTTCTTAATCTGATAAATGCCCTGGGACACTAGAACTGCTTCCTAATTAAACGGTACTTTACCGCAAATCTGGAGCAAGATTCTGAAGGGAGGGAAAAGCTGCTAATTTCGATGGCCGGGGTGAAAATCTTCCATTGTAAGAATAAGAAAGGTATTGGATTAAAACAGAACTAAGTTGTAATTACATCTATATGCAAAATGATTAATAATACCATTAACATAAGGAAGCATGTGATTTAAAAAGAGGCCCACATAGAAGCCTGGGCAGTGAGGTACTTTGAGTGAGTGAGCAAATGAGTGAGGGAAGTACGTCTCAGAAATACAGGCATAGCTTTTTGCCAACATATATGGGGACTGGAATGACATTTTGTTGAGGTATGTAAACCCAGTGGTTAAGTGAGGTATAGACTAATTTTCAAGAGACTTATTTCTTAAACACACACAACTAAATGAAGACATGAGACATTCTTCTAGTTTAATGATAAAAAAAAAAAGCATTGAGAGGCAAGCATTAGAAGGAAAAGGTTTTCTGTCGCAATTAAAAGTGATGCAAATCATTGAGGCTGGATGGTACACTAAAGCATGTTTAAAAGGCAAGGCAAGAGGCAAATCTGTGGTTTTTATACTTTCTGGGTCTGCATAATGACTGCACAAAGAGAAAAATGATGTGAGTAGAGTAAGGAGTGGAGGAAATTGGGATAGAAGAAAGTTGGAGGTGAACTTACCTAGGGTTTCAAACTCAGAGGAGGAACTGTAGACTGTCGTCTTGGTAGCTGGCTGGCTGACTGTTCATTCTGGAAACACTGACCATCTGCTCGTGAGTTGACTCCATTCAGAAGAGTCAGGTATTCTAATACTAGTGTGAAAGCTGAAAAGTCAGTCATCTTGCATTTACAAGGACTTCTACATTCTCAGGGAATATATTAACAATATATTTGAGAGAAATATTAATTTTCATATGGTAGTCTGGAGATGGGATTTTTCTTAGACAATTAAAAATACAGTATATAAATTACAAGTTATACAGAGGAACTACCTTTTCCCAAATAATGACATCAAAATTTAGGCTCCTATAACTATTTGGGGAATTTTCTATCCAGAATTTTCTATAACAGGTATCAGAATTTCTGCAAGACTCCTTACTTACTGTCTCACTTCACTTTTCAAGATAATAATTTAGGAAATGTCAAAACATTATTGTCATCATAAATGTGACACACATATAATTTTAAAGTACTCATTCTTGTATTTTCAAAATGATTAAATAAACCATTATATTAACTATTGATCATTTCATACATTTTCCCAAACAAAAGACCATGATACAGAATAGTCTATTTCACACATCCACCTAAGGAAAAAAATGTTCCTTATCCCTATTCCTTTTAACATCAAAAATGTGTTAACATTGGGCTACTTTCTCTGTTGTTTTCATGGATACAGTGAAAAAGCAAACTCAACACACACACACACACACACACACACACACAAATATACTTCCTGATTTAAGTATTAACACTGTTGTTGTTAATAGTATGCGGTGGTAAGGTACCACCATCTGCTGAAAGTTACACAGAAAAAAAAAGCTAAAAGTCCAAAAGTAAGACCAGAGTTATTAATTACAACATACAGAATACATCTGTATTCTGATACAGATATCACAATACCTGTAAATGAGATACACAATACATCTCTTTCCCTCCTCCCTCTCCCCCTCCCCTCCCCCTTCTCCTCCCCCTTTCTCCTCCTCCCCCCTTCTCCTCCTCCTCCTCCTCCTCCTCCTCCTCCTTGTCTCCTCAGCCTCCTCCACCTTCTCCTCCTTCTATTTAGTTGGTTTTATAATGGTCCCATGAAGATGCAAGCTGATAAAGCTGTAGTATTACGGGTATCCTAACATTTTTCTTCTCCAAAGCTCCATGAGGAAGAGGCCAGGGAAGGACCTTTGTCTCAAAACTTCTTTCTCTGAATCTTCAATTTCATCTCATTTGCATCACAAACTATGCTGAAGGACTAACCCAGGGTCTAAGCATCTGTGTTTTGCTGGGCTTCCGTAACACATCTAGTTAAAAGTCCCCAGTGTGGAAATCCCAGACTAGCTGCTGTGAATCAAGGCCTTTATGTGAATTGTAATCCATTCATTATAAGTGTCGGGGATAATGCATCGCAACGAAAAGAAAAGCAAAAGTAACGAAGACACATTTAAGTGGAAGGGGTCTGGGTTTTCTGTCATCTGCTTTTTCTCTTCCATACAGCTGCCATGTGTGCGACCACGCTGCTCTGGTACCTGCATCAGGGGCAGCTGAAAGCATGTGTTTTATAACAGCACAGCATGATGAGAGTAGCTTTCTATGTGGGTTTGAATTTGTTCCAGGGACTAAGAAGAAAGGTGGCAAGAGCGACAGTCATTATGTCCCGTTGTCCGTGTGTAACTATAGTTTTATTCTTTATTTGTTTCCTCCATCACGTTGGTAATCTTTCAAAGGCTTGCACTGAGTGAGGGACAATTGTGCTGTTACCTTAGGTGTATGTGCGTGTACGTGGGTGTGTAATAATTTTGTGAAATCTCAGACCTAGTGAAAATAGCTGCTTCTGTAACAGGCTGGCTTTTCTCCCCTACAACTTTCTCAGAGTCAACATGTTCTGCCTTGTCTTGGGGGGAATGGAATCAGTGCAGCTGTAGAGGCCACCTGGGGTCACTGCAGCTATTGGCGTTTGACTTGTAATATGGGGAGATTAAGGGCTTGGAGGCCAGGCCTATAGTCGCGGGAGTGGAGGGGGAAGGGGAATCAAATGGCATTGAGCGGGGATTGCATCTAATTTACATGTATCTTACCCTGTGTACATGAAATATCTGCAAATAAATCCATCTCTATTTTATTCATAGTTCTAATGGCAAGTCTGTGTCATGGTCTGAACCAGGTGGAAGACAGGTGCCCAAGGGACAGCACATGTGGCAGCGCCTCTCTGTGCATGTGAAGACCAATGAGACGGCCTGCAACCAAACAGCCGTCATCAAGCCCCTCACTAAAAGTTACCAGGGCTCTGGCAAGAGCCTGACCTTTTCAGATACCAGCACCAAGACCCTTTACAACGTGGAGGAGGAGGATGCCCAGCCGGTTGGCTTCAGCCCGCCCAGCAGCCTTTCCACGGTGGTGCACCGACGCGGGCCCTCCGCGGTGAGCACCCCGCCTCTGCCACCCCACCTCACCACAGAGGAGACCCCCCTCTTCCTGGCCGACCCGGCCATCCCCAAGGGCTTGCCCCCTCCCCTCCAGCAGCCACCGCAGCCGCAGAAATCCCTGATGGACCAGCTACAGGGGGCGGTCAACAATTTCAGCACCGGGATCCCGGATTTCAACGCGGTGCTCGCAGTCCCCGGGGGCCCGGGGAACGGGGTGCGCTCGCCGTACGCACCCCCGGCGCCCCCGCAGCACCTGCAGATGCTCCCGCTGCAGCTGAGCGCCTTCGGGGAGGACTCGGCCTCTCCGCCAGCAGAAGACGAGGATGAGGACGACAGCGAGAGGTTTAAGCTCCTGCAGGAGTACTTGTACGAGCGGGAAGGGAACACGGAGGAAGACGAGCTGGAAGAGGAAGACGCGGAGCTGCAGGCGGCCGGCAAGCCCGCCCCCGAGGATTCGCCCGCTCTGACTCCGCCGTCGCCTTTCCGCGACTCGGTGGCCTCCGGCAGCTCGGCGCCCAGCTCCCCCGTGTCCGAGTCGGTGCTCTGCACCCCTCCCAGCGTGACCTACGCCTCCGTCATTCTGAGGGACTACAAGCAAAGCTCTTCCACCCTGTAGGGCGGAGGCGTCCGCGCGGCGACGCAGGAAAACCGGGGAGCTCCAGCACCCCTGGAGAGGCGCCGAGGGCTGGGAGGAGGAGCTGAGGGAGGAGGGGGAGGTCAGCAGGGGAGGAAGACGCTGCTGCTGCCGTAGGGGAGGCCCGAGGGGACTGTGCTCTGCAAGCAGAAAGTGATCCAGGGCGAGCATCCCGATTCTTGAATTATTCAAAAGCCTTCTCTGGGAAGAAAGGGAGTTCTGACAAAGCACAATCCCAGATAATAAACAACTTTCGCCGCATACATAAATAAATAATAAAACTGACTAAATAATCTCCTCTTTTGGACATTGTGCATAGATTATACATGCCCGCACGCACTTGGCCAGCTTGAAAAGACACCAGTGGACCAGCCGGGTTGAATCATTAGTTGACATGGTATTCGTGGTGTTCATAGTGAGCGTGGGAGAGCCAGACAGAGCGGGTGGGTGAAGGAGGGGCGCGCACGGAACTGCCCCCCGGACGCAGCTCCTTTTTCTCCAGCCCTTCTGCGTCCTGGGCCCACAGACTCCTGGTCTTCAGGAGCCTGTCTTCACCCATTGCACCCGACCCAGGGCCGGCCTTGTTGCCACACTGGGGAAAAAGTGTATGGATACCCTGCTGCGCTGTGATTTCTTTCTATTTAGGAAAACAGGCATCAGATCAAAATCATCACCAAAAAGTGCTTCATCAGGAGTGCAGAGGGAGGAAGGGATGCGAAGCAAGACAGTGCATACGCATGAGGCTTTCAGCACAAATAACATCCCGTATTGGATACTCGCTTCATGGTGATTTTGGAGAAAAGGTGAGAACAAGCGATTGTTTTCAGACTGGCAGAAGATGTTTCGTGGAGTATCTTGTGTTTGTGCCAAGGGGGGTCCTCTCTCCCCTTCAATTAAAGAGAACAAACCATGTGGCAAAATTGTTACCTTACATTTACTGTAGCAAATAATACTTACCAGTTGAACTTCTAAGATACAGTATGTGTATTTGGTGCCATCGTTTATCCTTTGTACTACAGACACAAACCCATCTTCCAACTTAATGGTGTACTCATAGCAACTATTACTGGTTCAATGACAAATAATTCTTTCCTGTTGTTATCAGAGTCCCTGTAACTTGTGAGTAAATGTGTTCTTGTGTCCTCGTATACTTGTGATAAAATTTGTGCACTGTAATGTCAATGTAACTGCAACTAAAAGTTGTCTTTCCAATATAGAATAGATATTTTTATGTTCCAATGTTTTATATATTGTCACCAATATCTGCAAAAGCTCTTTGAAGGTTTGATGCTGTGGTGCAATGGTTTTCCTACACTGCTCAGATGGCCCTCCCTCTTCTAAAAGGGAACCTATTTTTCAGATATTTTATGATGTGTAATATGTTATAATGAAGTGGCTTGAAAATTTGTTGTGCTAAAAATTCACAAAAACTGTGAGTTACAATAAAGAAGTACATTTTTGTAGATTTTCAAACATCATAATTAAAACATAAGATTGAAGTATTGAGATGATTTCAGGTCAGTTTAGGTTTTTTTTAAAAGATTTTCTGCAGCGACCTGAGCTTTCAGTGTTTATAAAGCATATGCTAACCTCTCTGTCTGGTCATAATTTCTCCAGCTAACTATTTATCACTTTTTCCTTTCTTTAAATTTTTATTTCCATATACTTGTATTCTCCTATTTTCACTGTCATCCCTTTTCTTTACATTTTTGTTATGTACTGTATTATCCATGTACGTGTGATCAGTTTAATTTTTATCCTCCTTTTTACACCCAATAAAAGTGATTTTTCTTGCCATTTTGATTTCTTCTATTATTTATGGAATGGATCTTACCCCTTTAAATATCTGTTTATACCTTATGTGCAGTCATATTTTAATATGCTTCCTTCATGTGGAAGCTGATTTCTCAGCCAAAAATCATTTTAGAATCTTTAAATACCCGCCTCATCATTTTTTTTTTCAGAATTTAACATCAGCTCCAAAGTTTGAGGCTCATGTTTCTTATGCCCTCCCATACTCCACTGCCAAGTTTAGTCAGTTCCATAACAAGAATGGATGGCCGTTCTTTTAAAAAATTATTTTGTGGGGCGCCTGGGTGGCTCAGTCGGTTGAGTGTCTGACTTCGGCTCAGGTCATGATCTCATGGTTCGTGGGTTCGAGCCCCACATCGGGCTCTGTGCTGACAGCTAGCTCAGAGCCTGGAGCCTGCTTCAGATTCTATGCCTCCCTCTCTCTCTGATCCTCCCCTGCTCATGCTGTCTCTATCTCTCTCTCAAAAATAAAAAAAAAATTATTTTGTAACACCTTTGGTAGAAAGACCTCCTGACTGAAACAAGGATTTCAATTCCATTCAATTTCAAGTTCAGTTTTCACTGAAATGAGGGAGAATGAAGGAAATAGATGGTTCCCGTGCTTAATTGATGGTCTACTTTCCTGGCAAACTAGCAACTAAAAGCCTACTATCTATTATTCTTAAAATGTGTTTTATATCTTAATGCAACTAACATATGTCCTTGTTATTACAGGACTTGTACATCCAGATTTTTTAAAAGTAAGAATAGATCAGGAAAACTGCTCTACTATTCAAACAATGTAAGATGTCAGTTTGTTCTGAGGTTTTAGTCTGAAACATTTGGTGAACACATCCAATACCAATCACATTATTTTTCTGAATGCCTAATATCATGATTAGATGTTTTCCTGAATACAATGCAGTATTAGCTCTTACAGGATAATTGTTAAAAATTGGAAATGTACACAGACATATCTTGTACCAAAAGGGCAGATACTTTCACCTTGATGTATGTGCTTATACACTTTGTTTAGCTTCTTGTAAAAGTGTTTTCCTTTGGCTCGTTACTGCCTTTGCCAAGTAACCTTGATAATGCTGTATAATAAATATTTTCTATTTATTAAATGTGTGCATTCCTTCCCCATACTTTGGAAGAGGTACAATAAGAGAAATAGACTGGTACCAGAAACAATTTGTAATTGGTCTGATTTTGCCCACAACATGTCTGCTAGATGAAAGTTGGAGAACATCACATAAGACCTACAGACCAGGTAGGTGACAAAGTAGAGCACAGTGATGATGAGGAAGGTGAGACCTTAAACTCTAAATTTAAAATTAACTCCAGAATTTGGGTATTCAATGCTATGGCAGACATTGTCTTTCATCGTTTTGATAGAATGTGTAACTCTTGACAGACTCCTGGGTCTCTAGCAGAGCTCTGGCTAGAGACAGAGGCATAAGAAGGCTTCGTCTTTGTTTTATTTGTGCCTACAAGCTCACACTCTAGAGAGACCTGATTTCTTACACTGTCAATATCTTTCTTTGTTCCCTCACATTTCAAGTTCTATTCCCTTATATTTCAATGGAGACTTCACTGGTCTTCAAAGCAAGTGAGTCCCTGTTATTCATACCTTCTGCTATAAGATACCTGCAAGGTAAAGTATCTGCCAAGTGTTGTCCAAGGGGAGAACAATGATGGTACAAGGACCACATTCATGAAATTGTGATGCGTTTAGATGGGAGGAGCAAGCTGTATACAGGAAAGCTGATGTCGAAGAAATCTCCAGAATCAGGGGCTGAGACACCAGGGAGTTTCTTCGTTGTGTCTAGAAAATAGAATGAGAAATCATGAAATGGGAGCTTGATGTCTTAGAAAGAAGAAAAGTCAGAGGAGAGAGAATGAGAAACAAAGAAGAGAGAAGAAGACGATGACGATGGTGAACGAGGAGAAGGACGACGATGACGATGACAACAATGACGACAAGCAGAAGGGGAGGGAAGGAGAAGAAGAAAAAAGGAAATGTTTCAGGTGTGTAGTCAAAAGATACTCTCAGATTGCCCATTAGGTCATAAGGACCTCCACTTGTCGAGAGTCCAGAAACTTCACCATAAGGAAGACATTTGAAGCAGTTGGGTCAGCGATCCAGATACCACAAATTATGTATGAATAACTACCCCAATAATTTCTATGGAGACTATTTTGAGAGGGAAACACAGAGAAGGAAAGCAACATGTTCATCCACTTACTCTGTGCCAGACATTTTGCTACTTTTTTTTAACATTCATTCTCATTTAATCTTCCCAACATGACTGCTACAAGGATATTTTGGAATACTGAAATAACTCGCCTAGAGTATCTCACCTAGCAAGTGGCCCATCAGGGATTCGAGCTCCATCCTAAGCCAACACAGAGCCTGTGAGTTTGTGTTCTTCTCTAGAGCTCAGGATACTATGTAGGGGCTGCTTCCCCTATGCATTCTCATAGCATTTTATTCACATCCCAACTACATTATGGTTTGCATGTCTCTTTCCCTTTAGAGGTTCTAAGTTCCTTTTTGTTTGAGATCCTTTTTTTTCTATCCAATTTGTGAGACTTAAGGGCAAAGCAGGTACTCCATAAATGTCGAAAAAAGGAAATGAGTGTTGTAACACCATGTAGTTTTCCCAGCTTAGTTCTCTGAAGATTTATTCCAAGAGCCTTATGGGGTCCAGAGCTCTATATTTCCACCTACTGATCCTAACTCTGCCAACTGGAACAACACATGTTTTCATCATGAAAAACAAGCTCCCTTTTTGGCATCAGAAAGAGCTGTCCCACTGGGCAGAAGGTCTGCCTTTTTTGCAGAAGAGCATAGCAACACTCAGTGACCATTGAGTCCAGCCAAAGGTCTGGCAAAGCAATAATAGGTGTGAGGAACAGCGTCCTCTACAGGAGAGCTGCTGGTAACATAAGATTGTTGAAGTAGGGCACCCATCATCCATAAGGAAAGCATGGGTTGGAGGTTCCTTCTTTACAGAAGTACATGTCTTTAGACAAGATGAAAGGCAAAACTAGCCGCTGAGGCTTAGGGGGAACATGGGAGAAAGGGAGAGCCTAGTTTAAGGAGTTGAATTAATGACACTATTAAACCAGAAACTGGCTTTTCTCATGGTAGCTTGGGAAACAAGGCTTATAAATTAATAAGAAAAAAAGAGAAGAAGTTTAAGAATGAGGATAACAATAATCATAAAATTACTGAGTTGAAAGTAAATTTATAAGTCATTTAAAATAAGGTATCACCCCATTTTCAACTCTATTTCTCTGTGTCCTGTTCCTCTTTCTGTGTCAGGAAGGGGCAGGTGAGGAGTCACTTCTGACAAAGTTGGGATAGGTGGAGGGGCTGGGGTACAAGGCCTAGTACCTGCACTTGTACAAAAAGAGAGCAGAGAGCCTCATCTACTGGGAGAGCAATGTTAATCCAGGAAGCTAGCCAGAGAACAGAGCTAAGACACAACTCCAGAATGAAGGTATTGGAGGACCAGGAAAACAAGGGGTTAGGAGCATCAAGGTGTGTGAAAGGCTGATAGTCTGATGGCATTCAAACAACCAAAATGCTGGTGATGGGAATGTACTTTCCGTGGGAATAATGAGGTGTAAATGTGTGACTTGGGTTTATTTTAAGGGATGGATTGGATTCAGGTGAGTTTTGCCCTCTGCTGAAATATTTCCAGGGACTAGGATCTTGCATTCGAAAAGGGAAAACTCTAATTAGAAAAGGTTTTGTTTTGGGGCACCTGGGTGACTCAGTTGGTTAAGCGTCCATCTTCGGCTCAGGTCACGATCTCACGGATCATGGGTTTGAGCCCCGCGTCAGGCTCTGTGCTGACAGCTAGCTTAGAGCCTGGAGCCTGTTTCAGATTCTGTATTTCCCTCTCTCTCTGACCCTCCCCTGCTCATGCTGTCTCTCTCTGTCTCTCTCTCTGTCTCTCTCTCTCTCTCTCTCTCTCAGAAATAAATAAAGCATTAAAAATTTTAAAGAAAAAAAAAAGAGAAAGAAAAGGTTTTGTTTTCCTGAACCCAAAACCTTGCTTTTCTTTTACCAGAATCCAAAGTTCTGTCCTCTGGAAAGAGATTGAATAAGTTTAGTGCACTGTGTACATGACTCCCCTTCAGCCACTTGAATAGTGATTATGCCACTAGTTAGTAGTTTATTCTCCAAGCCAAATAGCTTCACTTCCTTTAACTGTTATCTTTATTATTAGGTTCCTAAAATCCTAATCAGCCCATGGTGATATTTCCAATTTTTGAGTATTCTTTCAAAAATGATGCATCTAGAACTAGACATAATACAGCACTAATCCTTTGATTCATTTTAACCATTGTTCTAGTATTGCTGCCTAAGATTATGCTAATTTTGTTAAAGTCTTGCCACATTTTGAACTCAGGCTTAGCTCAGAGCCAGCTATAACCCATAAGCCATTTTTTAATGAACTCCAGGAAATGGATATGAATGTGAATATCTTCTTAGGATGGATTTACCCAGAAACAGACCCTGAGAGAATGATTTGAATGAAAGTTGGATTCAAATGCAAGGGGAAGTGATCCTTGGGAGCACCAATAGGAAAGTGGGGAGGCAAGGCAGCATATGATATGCAGCCAATAAAGGGTGTGTTACCAGGCAGATTTCCACTGTGAGACTCAGTCCTGCTGGAGACTCGGGGAGACACTGGAGAGCATGCCTCATAAGGTTCCTCAACCCCATGAGACAGGGATGTGGGGAGCATTTATTTATCAATTCCTGTCATGGTTGGGGGCTATTTGGGAGGGAGGTGCATGCTAATTCCAGTTACTTCGAATGTGTCTCCTATGCAGGCTCCAGTCTCCAAAGAAAGCCTTCAAGCAAAGAGTTACAGATGTTGGCAGTTGGAAACCTAAGAATTGGCCTGTGTGGGGAAGGTGAATATCAAGAGGGGGCCAGGGAACTAACAGTACCTGCTATAGATGGGAATATGGAGATGATAGATAGATAGATAGATGATAGATAGATAGATAGATAGATAGACAGACAGATAGATAGATAAACATACATACACACAGGCACAGATACCAATACAGATAAAGATAAAGAAAACAAAGAGCTATAGAAAGCATGCTAAAGCTGTCTTTAGGGGCTTGAAGTGAGAACAAG